ATCGTTACAGTTCTCATTATTTTTTGTTACAGTTATCATTCCAGTTATATCATTAGTTATTGTTTGTTACAGTTATCTTTAAAGTTTTCATCACAATTATCGTTAAAGTTGTTGTTACAGTTAACGAGTTGCAGTCGTATTAACTCTTGTACTGGAATTAATCGTTTTTGCGTTTGCAGTGATTTGATATGCTCACCTTTGCTCTGTGCGTTCATTGGCTGGCTGTTGTTGGAGATGTTCGTAACGCCAATCAAAACGTCCTCCAGTCCGTCGCCATCCACGTCCCACAATGCAACAGGAGGGGATGTCACGCCTGAGAGGAAGAGCACATGCTGGTGGTGCTGCAGCTTTATTTCATGGGTTATGCGGTGGAGCGACACTCACCTGCCGTGTCTCCCAGCTCTCTCTCCCACTGTGGCGCCCCCTGCGGGCAGGGAATGAGGAACGCACACAGCAGCACCAGCAGCGCGGCGCAGGACAGCGGCAGCAGGAACACAGCGGTCCGCACCGCCCCACGCACCTGCGCCGCCTTCTCCTCCGCGGCTCCGCCCTGACCCGGCCCAGCCCCCGCCCTCAGCTCCTCCTCCTCATCCAACTCCTCCTCTTCCCTCAGATCGCCCACCGCCGGGCTTAGACCGTTATAAGGGTAATTCAGCACCAGATCGTCGTCCTCCGTCTCATCCTCGCTGTCGGCCTGCGTCAGCGGGTCATACTCGCCCAGATCAGAGCCCTTCTTACCTACACACACACACACACACACACACACACACACACACACATACACAAACTCAGCGTAACATGTTGGCATACATGTAATTCAATGATTCAGTCATTAAACATAAGATTTTGTATTCACCATTTCATTTATTTGAAAGCCTAACGGGTTTTTTTAACACAAAAAACAGTGGTCACGTGACTGTTCCGTTTACCATGGTACTGTATTGTTCCTACACTGATGTAGCAAGGTATTTTCGTGTTTGATCATCGCACTGAGCAGCAGCACCGATCTGTAATGCTGACTCTTCGCTGCTGAATATAATGTAATATTATATAATCGATACTGCGCTTAATCGATGGATGCTCGAGGAAATATCTGATTATTAAGCTCGATCAGTCTGATCGCGTGTGGGATTTAAACGCACATAACGGAATGAATGAAGCCGCGTCACCCGCATCCCAGCGCATCTTATTGCTTTGATCGTTTATTCGCTATTAATACATGACTCACCCGGTAACTTCAGAGCGCGAGACAGAGACGCAGCCATTGCGCGCGATGTTATCGGCGACGCGACGCGACGCGTGTGCTGCTGCCGCTACAGCGCTCGAGAGGTGCATCATGGGTAATGGAGTCTTTTCGCAGAACCTCCCAATGTGAAACAAAGTAACATCCAAATAAACATTTGAAGGACTTTATATCAGCTGCGTTGAATACATTAGCATTGTATTCTCATGTTGTGACATTTTAATAATGTAATATTTTAACAGGTAAAATCGCAAATGAAAGCATTGCTTTCATATATATTTAATTAGATTAAAATATTAGCATGGTCACACTAGCAGTGTTGGGGAGTAGCTAGTTACATGCAATGGAATTACGTAATTTAATAACAAAATAAACAGTTACTGGGGAAAAATGTGTCATTAAATTACAGTTACTTATGAAAATGTTAATGATTACAGAGGGGGTACATCTGAATATTTTCCCACATACAGATTTAATCGAGTTCTCTCATTAATTACTGTGACTGCTTTAAAATACGAGACAGCAGTGTTTCAGGAGTTTAGGACACGTGCTTATTCAATACTGTTTAATCTCATATGTGGGTTTGTATATGCTTTATTTGTTTCCCCACAGCATTGTTAGATTCCAGTGTTTCCATTGCTTTGCAGAGATTTGAGAAACAGTACAGCTATTGAACTGTCTCTTGTTATGGTTTTGAATCTGTATTTAACCTCAGAAGGATCTCAGAGTAAGTCTGATGTTGTGGCTGTGCTTGAAATCAGACGATATTAATCTTGAAGTGCTGAAGGATTGTGAAAGTCTGACAGTAATCAGAGCACTACTGCAAGGCTAACCTGCCTGCTTTACATGCTTCTAAATGATTTACAGTTCAAAGCATTCGTTACAAATGTAGAAAAGTAATAAAATGGAATCAGTTACACTACTTTAATAAAGTAATTGAAATAGTTACACTACGTATTACATTTTAAATAGAGTAACTTAGTCCCAACACTGGTCACTAGGTAAAAGCCTTGCTCTAAACATCTTTCTTTTTACTTTAATAACTCCTCTTTATTCGTTTAAATAAATCAGACTTCACTGTTTTAGTTGCTGTTTCTCTGAGGTGAAGTTGGATTGTTTGATATTCGATGAACACTAACAAAACGTTTTAGACAGTAGGTGTTTGGGTTTCCGTCGTCTGGTCTTCTCTGTGTAAGTCAGTAGTTTTTCAAGCTTTGGACGTCCTGTACACTTGATTACATGCAGAGAGCTGATTATTTCTCCTCAAACTCTTCCTCTGAGGACAGTCAGTCATATACATATGGGTGTAAAGGATGGTGTGGCCCTTTAAGGGCTGTATTTTAATCGTTGTTGTTGCACTAGATGACTTGTACAGCTGTGTTTTGTTCTGTTTCTCACTTTAACCAAACCTTTGTAGCTGTCTGACAAAACATGTTATGCCTTAATGTCTTTAGACATGTTTTTTAAAAGCTGAACTTATAATTTGACATGGCTTTCTAAACATGCCACTCTCTTGTGCGAGACGCGAGTGCAACGCTGATAGATGTCCCACTAGAACAGCGGTTCTCAATTCCAGTCCTCGCGTACCCCCGCTCTGCATGTTTTGCCTGTCTCTCTTTGTTAAAAGGGTCATATGATGCTGCTAAAAAGAACATTATTTGGTGTAATGAAATGTGTTTATGCGGTTTAAGGTTAAAAAACACATTATTTTCCACATACTGTACATTATTGTTTCTCCTCTGACATAACTTAATACTCTGTCATTTATAGTCGTTTGGTAAAATGTATATTTTTAATTGTGTAACGTTACGTTCAAAATAACCACAAAATGTCATGCCTTTGAAAAATAAAGAGAACAACAGAATGCACTGCTTTAGCGCGTCTCGGTGTCCTTGAGCATCTTTCTGGCGCATGCCACAAACATGAACCACAGGGAATACTCGTCTTTTAAAAGGCTTCATTTAGATTATTTTACATTAAATGCATCATATAAGTCACTTTGCTCGTCTCTGATTGGCTGGAATTATGGCACATTGTAACGCTGGGTTGTGTTGAGCACACGAGCGGTTGGTATTTAGCGAGCACTGAGGGGGGCATCAGGTGAGCAAGCTAGTGAAACATAGCAGGCGCAAAAGAGAAGGTCTGCACACATCCAAAAACTTCTTTTAAATGCAAAATTGATTTCCGTGCGCTCGAAAGACTTTTTTCTTTGCGAAACGAACATTTTCTCCACAAAACTCAGATCGCGCACGTGCAAAATGGACTTTTGTGCGCTCAAAATATGATCTTTCGCGCGCAGAATTGTGGCAGAAATGTAAGCCCATACAGCAGAGGACTATTATTCTGCTGCATGATACTGCAGAAGAACGGATGACGGCACGGTTTGATCTTCGGCTGACCAATCAGCAGAAAGGGGAGTTTAATTCCCGCCCACGTGTAGAAATCCAATATTCAAGCTGTTTATTCATTTTTCCACCCATGAACGAAAAACGAACATTTAAGCTGAATTCTCGTTTTTCGTTTTTTGGAAAAAAAACAAAAAAACGAAAAAGGAGCCGTTTTCTAATTTTTCTACTTTCAATATTAAATAAAAAAACGAATGATCGAATGATACACGGATTGGGTAGTTTTGCGTTTTCATATTTTTGTTGTTGTTGTTATGAAGTGGCAATTTATTTAGGAGACATTTACTCACCAAAATGCGGTGAACTGTCTCTGCTTATGTGCATAGACGCTAGCTGCAAGCGTTATGTTTGAGTTATGCTTCCATACTGAGTCATTAATATAATATTTTACTTTCTTTACATTCATTAATATAACAAAGAAAAATGTAGAATGAAAAAAGGAAATAAACTCCATCGTTTTTCATTGTATAAGCACTCTGAAAATAGTTCAAATGGGCTTTATTCCTTTTTATCTGTGTAATAGTTTAATAATGTTAATGCTAATGTTAATAGTTTAATAAACCTGTTTTAAGGACCGTTAAAAGATGGACTAATGAAGCAGAGCGTGATTTATAAACCTGTTTCGACCTCACTGATTGGAGTGTTTTTGAAGCTGCAGCCACTGATCTGGACGATCTCACAGAGACTGTAACTTCATATATCAGTTTCTGTGAAGACATGTGCATTCCTACCAGGACATTCTTATCATTCAATAATGATAAACCGTGGTTTACTGGGAAACTCAAACAGCTTCGTTACGCCAAAGAGGATGCTTACAGAAGTGGGGATAAAATCTTGTATAACCAGGCCAGGAACAGACTAACAAAGGAGATCAGAGTGGCAAAAAAAAACTACTCAGAAAAGCTGAGAAAAGAGCTTTCAGCAAACGATCCAGCGTCAGTATGGACTGGTCTGAGGAACATCACCATGTACAAGACACCACCCCCA